ATTGATCTTGAAATGACCTTGAAGGACATGGCCAAGGTCATCATCTTACTCCCCGCTTGAAACCATACAACTTTGCTATTGGACATTTTCTCCAAAATGTATTCTAACTGAAGATATTAGGGGGGTCCGATACTTTTCGATGATCCTGTATATATATGCAGGGTTGGGAACGTTACTTTTTAAAAGTAACGCGTTACCGTTACCGTTACTTGCGGTAAAAAGTAACTCGTTACCGTTATCCGTTACTGATTCTAAAAAGTAACGCGTTACCGTTATTTGAAAAGTAACGATAAAAAAATCGTTACTTTCCGTTACTTTTGTAAAAAAAAAAGTTAAAATCGGCTTATAAAACGAATAGTAAGAGAAACAGTAGATAAATTATACATATATAAAGACAAAATGTAAGATATTTAAGCAGAAAGCATACATTCTTGCATAACGACATAAAGCCCATTCTACATTAGTCGCAAATCGCAAGGTCGCAAAGAAATTGACTAATCATAGTCGATTGTTCTTCTTGCGATCGAAAAATAATCAATTATGATTGGTCAATTTCTTTGCGATTTTGCAATTGCGAGTAATATAGAATGGGCTTTAAGGGTGCCGCACACGAATTGACATAACAGTAACGTAAGACGTACTGTAAAAATGGACCAATTACAATCGAGTATTCACAAAAATGGCGACCTTACGGTTCGACGATACTTAAAGTGATTGGTCAGTTCTTACGGTACGTTACTGTTATGTCAATTCATGTGCGGCGCCCCTTAAGCGTGGTCTACAATGAGAACTTAAGCCATAAAGTTTAAGCTTTAAGTCCTAAACCGTAAGAAGTTGATCAATCACAGTCAATTATAAGAAAAATAATTGACTGTGACTGGTCAATTTCTTACGGCTTAGAGCTTAAAGCTAAAATTTTATGGCTTAAGATCTGATTGTAGGCCACGCTTTAGAGGCTAGAGGCTTTCTACAATAAGTAGTTTTAAGTTGCAATAAAATTGACCAATTACAGTAGATTATTCTTCTCATAGTCGACTATGATTGGTCAATTTTACTATGCTTAAGATTTAATGCTTATTGTAGAATGGGCTTTACGGAAAGCAGCATTAATTGTTTATCGTGTGCAAACTTTCGTCGCGTAGCAAGCGTTGCCGCGTTCTGTGTACAGAAGTCACTATAGTAAAAAAGTAACGATACAAGTAACGATGAATTTCGTTACTTATTACTAAAGAAAACGCCGTTACTTTTTCGTTACTGATACAAAAAAGTAACGGCGTTATCAAATCGTTACCAAAAAAAAGTAACGAAATAGTAACGTCGTTACAAGTAACGCGTTACTTCCCAACCCTGTATATATGTATGTATATATGGTTTTGCATTGGCGACGCAATGTCCGAGTTTCTATATGTTTATGCAAGCCTATCGCAGAATAGCTGCTTGACGATTCTCTTTACTAGATGTTTTCTAAGCCGTGGCACACAGAAAAACTTAAACAGTAAGACGTAAGCAGTAAGCAAATTGACCAACCAGCCATTTATTCTTCTTACAGTCCAAGAATCAAGGATTGTAATTGGTCAATTTGCTTATTTCTTACGTCTTACTGCTTAAGTATTTCTGTGTGCCACAGTCCTTAGGTCCGTTCTATAATACGCTGTAAGCCGGAACCAAATGTCGTTAATCGCTTATCGAATGTCGCGCGCGCGCGCGTATGTCTGATTTGAATACGACTTATTATTCCACAATTGAGTCGGAAGTCGGAATAGATGTAAGCAATGGATACTAAAGCATTAAGTGTTTATTTAAATTTATTATGAATTTGGACGCAAATTATAAGATTATTATTATTAAAGAAACGTAAAAAAAGAATAACAAGAAGATGGTGGGTTAAACCTCATATTAGTATAAATATGAGACAAAATTTTGGTGCCCATCAAAAATTATTTATATATTTTAAAATTCACCTTGCGTTTATTATTCAGATAGTACGATGAATTCTTTAAGTTGCTAAAGTGTTCTCCTTTCCTGAATTGTACTTCTTTAGGAATTCATGGAAGAATACTGTAAGAAAGATTTAGTTACATGCACCATGATTGGAGTCCTCAGAACTTCTTAGAGAATTCATATAGAATTATACTATATGAACATAAATGTATACTTTATGAATTCAAGAAGAATAATGTTTATACATAGAAAAAGAAATATAAACCTAGTAAACACTAATTAACAGTAGCATAATATCAATGTTATAATTTACTATTCAACAAATGCAACATAATGTGTGTTAGTTATATTCTTAAGTAAGAAATTATAACATTGATGTTATGTTACTGACAATGTTTACTGGAACGATAGTCAATAAACATCAACTTAGTCGTAACGTTACATCAATATTATAATTCTCGCTCAACAATATAACTGTTATGTACAACATATGTTATTACGTACAACATATGTACCACTTACACAGCAGTAGGTATAGAGCAGAGGTTCTAATCATCGACATATAGAATGGACTGCTAAATGAGGTGATGGGGGTGGGAACAGATGTAGAGTGAGATGCAGATAATAGTAGGACACCCTCCGTCTCTGTTTATTGAAGTCTGATTGGTTGCAGGAATTTCAGCAATACTGTATCCTGCGAAAGTCAGACCCCAAGCTAGACACGAAAGTATTATTTCACGCTACATCTCTATTACGTATTACGTTGCTCGAAAATATCATGTAATACAAAAGTTAAAATACATTTTTGTCAGTTAACCAATTAATAAATACTGCTGCATATATAATATCGAGTTATATTTCTTTTTTTATCTATCTATTTACATATGTATTGATACTTATTCTCATTTCAATACTAATGAAATGTTATTATATATAAAACAGTAATATTTTTTTAATATTAAAAATGTTACACTAGACTAAAATCACCAATAACTCTTTGAAACATTTATTTTAAATTATAAGTATGATTAAAGTTCTGTTACAATGCGCTACGCTCCTACATGGAAAAGAGACGGAAAGTGTCCTACTATTGTCTGCCTCTTACTCTACGGCCGGTATTTATAGTCAGATCTTATATTTAAGATCATCTTAAGTACCGTCTTAAGATGTCATGAACCAATCACAGAGCCGTACTCGCATCTTAAGACATTATTTAAGACGGTCTTGAAATAAGATTTGACTATGAATACCGGCCTACATCTGTTCCTATCCCCACTACCTCATTTAACAGTCCATTCTATATGTCGATTGTTCTAACCCAGAATCATCCGAGGGAGGTGCGGGGGAGAGGAGTATCATGAGCGAGAGAGTAAGACGTCACGCGGGGAGGAAAGTATCTAGTGCGCAGGAAATGAGTCACGCGGGGAAGGGGGGCTTACCAACGGTCGGTAATTTTTTACCGGTATATTTTTAACCGGTATTTTTACCGGCATATTTATTTATTAACATAATTTTTACCGACGTTATTTTCTTTATCGACATAATTGATCATTTATTTTTACCGGCATATTTTTTAACATAATTTTTACCGACATAATTGATCATTTTTATCGATCCTGCGACCTCCCCTCTCCGCGTTTCGCTCGCGGGAGATTTTCGACGGTCTTTTTCCCTCTCCGGCTCGTGCCACTCGTCCGCGCCGCCTTTCAGAATATTCTCGAATATTCCAGAAAGAGTTCAAGACATTTCCAGGAGGACAAATCTTTTTAGGTAGTAGAGTTTACCCACCGAAACTACGCAGCCCCGACAAAAATTTATCTTTAATCATACACTATCGTATGCTTTCGAGCTATCGTATACCTACGATATATCAGCGATGTACCTACGAGATACGAAATTATCGCTTATCTACCTTAGCTGAATACTTTTTTTCAAAGATTGGGTGGGAAAGAAGAAATAAAAGAGAGAAGAGATATTAATATATTTTAAAAAATATTATTTCACTTATAGCCTCATACATAATATCTTTCAAGGCGCACACTAACAACTCGCAATCAACGAGCGACTCACAGTCATAATTGTTGCTTTCACGTATCGCTTTTGCTGCATGATATATTTCGGTGTACTTCTCTCGAAGAACATTTACAAAACTTCAGAATTTTATACTAATTTTACAATTTTGGAATCACACATCTTACAAAATTCATTACCAAATCTTGAATCGACAGCGGAGAGAACGATGTTTTGTCAGCTTGCAGAAGTCGTTGGATATCAAGATGTTTTCCCATCAGCTTTCTCCAAGTTTCTGTAGGTAATGTTAATTGATTGCCGCAATTGTCACCGAGGATTATTTCTACGGTGGGAACAGGTCCTACGCTGATTCCAATCTCCAAATAAATGTACGACGTTGCAGTCAGAGCATACCTGCCCAGCATGCATACCCAGGATACGAGCAGTATGATGCGGTTGCAAAGTGTTATAAAAAATATAACAAAAATTAAATGTATGAAAAAATAACTTAAACTGGAAAAAGTGCATAAAAATTTGCATTAATACTTACTTTTCACGTCTTTTCTTGCATGGTCAGATGTCGCCATCATCATGTTAAACGAGTGACTAATAATTTGCACGCGTGTGTGCAATATTCACTTCAGCACCGTACATTTTGATTTTTTGCCGTATCCGGGAACTACCACCAAACCTCGTTTGGATAGAGCGACTAACGAAACCACTGTACGAGTTTCTATTAATATAGACAAGTCCCACCAACGTTTTTAAACAAGAGAACGAAGTTGTGGTCCGATGCAATGGCAACACTCGAGGTGCGAGATGAATTCGATCCTGAGTGAAACCGGGAGGCTCGTTCGTAAAACACCTGCAGTAGATCTTCCTCTCTACGAGCCCAGGCTTTCCACACAACAAGTATGAAATTGTTTTATCATGGTATCAACGGTGTGCGCATGAGAAGTCCGTATGAGGTATTAATTAATTGACTGTTTGAATCAATCAGCTATAAAACCGAAGGATGAATTGAGAAATTCTCAAGGTGTTGCGAAAAAATGGGAAAACTCACACAAATCGAACGAGAATTATGGGAGCGGTCGACTCGACTAAATTCGCGAGACGAGTACGACGCGTGGATGCAAAAGTGTGACGAGTGCATCGAATCGTTGGAAGAACATAGTCGGGTTAAACGACTGATTACCGATCAGTACTAGACAGTCGTTGGTTGCTCGAATCGCGCAACTCGAGAGTTTAAAAAATACGTTGCGCACACGTTTCGTTCACGCGGGTGTCGGATACAGCGCGATAGACGCAGGACTCGTTTGGCGCGAGGTCGATACCGCGTTCGATAGTCTCATTAACCGGAGTTGTCATCAACGCGAACTATATCGAACCTCGTCAATTTCTCGAGGATGCAAAGACTATGGTGCTCGAGCGGGATGCAATGGAGGGACACGTAAATGTGAAAGTGAGCACTGTGTTTAACGGTGAGATCGTCGCGGATGAAAAACGTGTGATAAAGACGATCAATATGAAAAACTGTGAACTCTTGTCTGCATCCGATTTGCAAGAGTGTTAAGAGCGACACATTGTCGAGTTCATTTTGACTTTGGAGGAATTCCTGGAACGCGATAGCGGGGGGGCGCTTTCGCGAATACGATCAACGTGAACAAATACGTTGCACGTGGGTGTCACTTTGAGTTACCGCGTGAAATACTGCTAAAGCGAGCTGTGATTAATGTTAAACCTAACGATAATGCGTGTTTCGCGTGGGCGATGGTCACCGCTCTACACCCAGTCGAAAGATACACAGATCGTACATCATCGTATCCTCACTACACAAGCGTACTCAATCTTCAAGACATTGAGTTTCTCATGAAGATTAATCAAATAACAAAATTTGAACGATTAAACGATATATCCATTAATTTGTACCGTATCATAGGAGAAAAGAACGTCTACCATTGTTCCAATATATCTCACCGATGGAAAGAGGGAAAAGCACGTCAACTTGCTACATATTTCGGGCCCCCGAGACTACAACGCGGGATATTTCGCTTGAATCAAGAACTGCGGCTCGTGAGCTCGCAGTTGAGCAAGTATAAAGTCAGAAAATACATTTGCGATCGATAAGTACATTTCATAAATTCAATATATCAGAAGTATACTATAAGACGATAGTAAATAAAAATTGCAACTGCTACAAATGTTTGTAGGTGTCGGCACTATTTCGATTCCAACGAGAAGCTGGAGAGTCACACCACAAACTGCCAAAAATTGAACAACTGCGCCATCACTCTGCCGACTGAGGACAACAAGCTTGCGCAATTACAGCAGGAAGGAGCGAATCCCATTTGTAGTGTACGCTTATCTGGAGTGTACGCTGGAGAAGACCGCAAAGAACGGGAAGGATCACAAATCGCACACGTATCAGCATTACAAGGTATTTAGCATAGCGTATTACTTGTGTTGCTCGTACGACGATTCGTTATCATATTTTCGGAGCCGTCGCGATGCTGATTGTATTTTATGGTTCGTCGAGTAACTCGAAGTGTTAGCGCACCGCGTAAAACTAATTTTATCAACCAATGTCCGCATGGAAAGTTTGTCAAAAGGACACTGGGCGGCATTCTATAACGCGACGCAGTCACGTGTGCGAGAAACCATTCGCGGCGGAGGATACGCGCGTACGCGATCATTGTCATTTCACCGGACGGTACAGAGGTCCTGCGCACGCAAATTGTAATTTAAATTACAAAAATTATTACCTATATTTATTAAATATTTTATCTTATATTTTTTTTATTACTGACAAGCTAAAGTTTTATATAAACATCAGTCTTCTTCGCAATTCCATTAATTATTTATTTTAAAAAATGTTACATTCATTGTAGTTTCTTATTAGTTCCGTCATTGGGACATTTACCTTAATAGTTGACAAAGCAAGGTAGTGGAAGTTCAAATGATGGAAATGCTGCGCGTATATTTTTCCAAAGTTACGAAATTGTTTCCAAAATTACAGGATTTGATGAAGATCTGAAGATGACAAAAAAATTTATGTTCTTCTACAGATCCTAGCATTAGGAAAATATATAGACGTAGTTCGGTTTCGAGAATATGCAAATACTACAGCGAGACTTCTTGTTATAAAATATTCATGGTATTATATGCCTGTAGTATTGCATATAATGCTTATTCATAGAGCAGATATAATAAGTAATTTTGTGCTGCCTATTAGATGGATGTCTGAGGAGCTTCAGGAATCCAGGAATAAAGATATAAAAAGATGTCGCACGGAGCATACGCGAAAAACGTCACGAGTTGATACAAATAACGATTTATATAATTATCTACTTATATCTTCAGATCAGATACCTTGAAAGTTTAAGAACAAATGTAGTCGACTAGGCCTATTGTTGTTGTGATTAGCGCCGAGTAAAAACCGAGCCGCTTCAGGGCATGCCGGAGCGAGCGATGAACTTGATAAACGTCAATAACGTAGAGCGATCGTCAAAAAGTAGAAAATGTTATCTTTATTTACCGATGATATCGAATTTATATACACATATATATTTATAGAATTAGATGATCGTCAAATAGGCGCTAACATAATACCGCTATCATCCTTCCGCAGATGTTATGCAAGTGTATGCTACGTTGTCATTTCAATTTTCTTACACATAGACGTTACATAAGTGTGTATGCCACGTTGCCGATATTCGCATTCTCTCCAAAACAGGCTTTTGCTGCTTTTCTGATGAATTCTTCAAACCGCTTGTGTACTGGGTGCATCAAAGAAAAAGTTTTTAGAAAAGAGTGTTGTAGGTGCAAGCGTAGTTTGCGAATAATATTTTGAAGAATACGTTACCTATTATTTGAGATTTCAATATAATTAGCAACGGTAATTTGAGATATTCTTTTTATTTCGCACTGACCAGTGTTACACTTTATTTTTGCACGTAATTTTATATAAATTGGAGCAGTTAGTAAACTATAATTATTGAAAAATGAAATCAGTGTCACGATAGCGGTAGTTCCACATCGTTTTCATCCTTGAAAGAGGAATGCCCTATTTCATTTATGCATGTATCTTTACTATACAAAAGCATTTTTAATTTGGTCAAATCAATACAAGTTAAAATTTTTGGGAAATGTTGACGTGATACCGAATACTTTTGTGAAACTATTGTTTCGTGCTAATTGGACCAAAGTAAAAACCATTTTGCATTGTGAAATTACGTACAAAAATGAAGCAACATATCCAAAAATATAAGACGAAAACGATAATGCACTATTGCTATCACGAAATCGAATTTTTTTGCAAAGTTTACTTCTTTCTATTTGCGTCAAATTAAAAACCCTTTTGCATGGTGAAAGTATGTGCGAAAATGAAGTGGAGTATCCCACAATATGAGAGGAAAATGATAATGAACAATTACTATCACGAAATCGAATCTTTCTGCAAAATTTACTTCTTTCTACCTGTGTCGAATTAAAAACACTTTTGCATGGTGAAAGTATGTGCGAAGATGAAGCGAAGCATCCATCAATTTGAAACGAGAACGATAATGAACCACTAACTATTACTACTTCGCGCAGCCGTGAGTCTCCGCACCGCACCGCATCCCGATTCTATCGCGATAGAGTATATCTACGCAGCGTCGCGCGAACGAAGGAAGATTCCGCCGAGGTAGTTAAGCCGATACCGGTCCGATTACCGAAGCCTACGAATATTCTCGTATCCTCACCAGAAGACGAGACTTCTCGCTTCCTGACGCCAATGAGACTCCATGTTGTCGCCTACTCGTATTGTTTCCGTCAGCGAGACTGCTCGTTGTCAAACTATTTCCGCGAGCCTACTCGTTATCGAAGACTTCTCGCTTTAAGCCATCAACGAGCCTACTCGTTGTCAGATCATACATATTCCGCGAGGCTTTTCGCTCCTTTCACTGACAATTCCTGCCCCGCGCAGCCCGGCGACTTCTCGCTCCCGGACAAATACTGTCGTCAACTCTGATTATAACGAGACTTCTCGTCGTCGCCGACTCACGGGTTACAATATTGTTGCGTCCGGAGCCGCTGGTAAAACATTGTTCATCGCCACCCGGTATAACTCGTCTAGTGAAAGTACCGCCTCGACGATCAAGGAGTTCATCCTACACTGAGAGAAAAAAATAGTTGGAATAACTATAATCTCACTATATTTTATAGTTTGTTTTGGTCTTAAACATATATTTATAGTTCATCTAAACATGAAGATATAATAGAATGAACACAGATTTATAGTCACCATCTTATTACTCTATATATATAGTAAAGCACCTTTTGGGAATATAGTTACATGTACCTATATTTGCCAAATATTCCAATTGTATTGACTATATAAAATAGTTAATTTCTCTTACCATTCAATATTTGCCACCTTATCATATTTTTTATTTCAAATAATTATAATTCTTGGTAAAAATTTTACACGGGTCAGTTATACTATACTTATATTGTAAATATTACAAATATTATGGTAACATTTACTATAAAAATTATATTCCTAACTATAATATTTTTACTATGCCATTATAGTTCCAAATATTATACATTTTTCTCTCAGTGTAGGGACAGGAGTGCGGACTGCCGCGTCTCCGCCAGGACTTCTTGACTCCCATCACGGTGACCTCGACATATCGCGAACCGCCAAACCGCCGCTAACAAAACATCGGTGCGTTTCGCTCGACTAAAATCGTCCGCGTAAAACAGCACACCGTTCGGGACTTCGTCTCGCACTCACTTCTTATATATTTTATTATTCTTATTATTATTATTATTATCTTAATAAACTCAGTTAATATATATGCATGGGCCAGATCCTATCTATTTCTCCTACGCGAACTCGGCCACCGGCGAACACATCCAGTAGGCTTACCTGAGCGACGGGCTACCGTTGCAATGTATATAATCAATTAACAAATAAATATATATACTTACATATATCTGTATTACAATTAACATTCTTTAAGTTTAGTGTTGGTAAAAGCAGATTGCATCTACTTTCAATCTTACCACTTTAGTTGTGCTTTTTGAAAAGTCATTACTAGTAAAATGCAATTGGCAAATTCTGCTTGATAATGTTGGTGCCCGATTTGCTCAATTTGTAGCTGCTATCCATTTTTCTAATAATTTGAGTATATTCATGGGAAACCTATATTGTTTCATAATGTTTAACTTAATACTTTGTACGTTTATATTTTTTACTTATGATAGTTTCATAATTGTAAGCATTATTTTCGAAGTGCTATCAGGTACAGTATGTTTACTTCATACTACTTACTTAAAGAAGGATATTTTATTTTCTCCTTTCACAATACTACTAGTGCAATTTATAACAGCACACATTTTACTTTCGGCATATTTTATATGTGTAAACTAATCAAATGTTTTACAACTTCAGATTTTCAATACATGCATGTACAGCATTAACATCGTTGTTAGACGGTTAACTCCTGTGTTAAACTAACCTGGCTACGACAGTCCCATCCATTTTGCGCATGCGTAGAATGGGATTCGTACATATTGTTTGTAGCCATTTTATATAAATAAAATATAGAAAGTTAGTAGTCTAATAAGGTATAGAAGTCTGTAGGTGGAAGTCGTGGTGATCTTCCATTCTCTATCGCAGACGTAAGAGCGAGAGAGATAGCATTATGAGACGTGGCGGTCAGAAATGCTATCCTAAAATAGCTATGATGCACACTAAAAAACGCTTACGAAGCACATTCTCAAAGGCCTAAGCGGAATCTTCCGATCCGCCGCACAGTGGCGAATTTTTATGAAATCCTGGCCAAAACCTCTCAGAAAACTGTGAATTTTGAATTAACGTCAAAAGTGAATTTGTATATCAATTTTTTTATTTCCATAGGTAGCACTTCAGTATACCCGCTAATTTTCTTCACATATTCCAGAAAGTATTCAGTCCGTGCGTTAAAATTAGTCGAAGGAAAAGAGAACATTACTCTTTCATCATTTCCCTTCTTTTTAAAATTATATGATTAGATTGCGAATCTGAAATAAATTTGAATAAATAATTTTGACACCCGATTTTTATACAATGCTCTTATTTCACGCAGTAATGTTATATATTGTTAAACTTGTCTCGATAAGTACTTTTCAAAAACATATATATCAGCTTTAAAAAGTAGACATAACTTCGTGAATGTCCTTTATAAGTTACAAGCTACGCGGACTTCTGTCCTCTTTAAATGTCGTTTACGTAGCTATTCGCAAATATTCGCAGAATATGTTTTTATGTTCTAATATTAGATATATAGGGCTATAATATCATATAAGCTTAACTGAATTTCGTTGAATTGACTACTTTTTCCATAAGTTAATAAAAAATGTCGCTAACCTATGTAGTAGCTTTTATAAACTGATTCTAAAAATGTTAATTTACAGTTTTTCATAATTTATTAGTATTTAGTATATTCTACAAACCTCCAGAAGCTGAATTTATCTTGAGTTATATATTTAATACCTCAATATGAATACAGAAACTTATTTCGAATTTGACGATTTTAGACAATTATGACACAACGCTCATGTTGGAGGTAGTGTCAACACAATGTGGTGCTTTAAAGGGATTAAAATCATTAACTTGTTTTCTCTGTTTATTCAACTCAAAGCTAGCAAGCATTTTAATTCTCAAAATCTACTTTCATTTTTTAGGTTTTGGCTAGGATTTAATTAAAATTCGCCACTGTGCGTCAACTTGACGGCTATCATGGGACCATCTGGTACTGGCAAATCGATGTTGTAAACATCTTAAGCAGCTTTCAAAAAGGCTTGTACACGGGAACGGTGAAGTACCTCAACAGAGGCAACATACAAAATCGCGACTTGCAAGAAACAGCTGCGCTATATTCAGCAGACGGATAATCTGCATGGCCACTTCACCATCCAGGAAATTATGATGATAGCGACTCAGTAAGCAAGAAACATTAAATCAACTTTCTAAAACATTGATATTATGTATATTTTTGTAATATTTCTTTATAATATTCTATAAACGTTTTTAAAACGTTTAATAATATTACATTTCAAACATTAAAGAAATTTGTACAAACATTAAAGAATATTGTACAAACATTTCAAAACATATTTTTTGAATGTTGATAAATAAGCAAAAAACACTAAATTAATATGTTTAAAATGTTGATCCCAGGTAGCACATGTTCATATACATATTTTATACGTATGTAATGTTTCATAATGGGAAAGCACTAATAAAAAACGTTTAGACAGAAACGTCTATGAAATCATAATTTAAGAAATGTGTTTAACATTTCTACAGTCAAAAGAGTTTTATTTTTTCGATAATCTTTATCAAAATATTTGTAACCAAGGTAAACATATTTTACATAAATATTTTATGCATATATCTCTAACTTCTTTTTTATTATATAAAATATTATAAGTATAAACAGTTTATTTTTGTGGTTTAAATAATATTATAAGAAAATTATAATTAGTGCTTTGGCTCCATATGAGGATAATAAAAAACGCTTAGTATCAATTGAGGAAATAGCGCAGCAGCCAAGATAGTAGACTAGGAACCTGAGATGTCTGAGGTCTCTCGAGTTCGCGTCCGAACAGTACTGAGTAAATTTTCAGATACAAAAATAGTGAGAAATCAAATAAAAGAAGCTACATTTCAGTTAAAATTGATATAAATTCATTAGTTACAATCGTTTCCGCAAGATATGTTTTTTTTTACATGTGTTTGTACTACCTGGGATGTGAATTGACGTTACGGAAACATTTATTTAACATTATTCGAAGAACGTTATCACAGAATGTTCTAAAAACATTAGCATAACATTAATTACAACGATATGACATATGTGAATTCAACATTAACCTTCGGTGTCAAAGTTTGTTCATTATGATGCTGGTACAACGTTAGATACGACATATGTGCAAACGTTACATGTTACTGAATATCATTATAATAACGTTATAGTAATGATACTTTGTTTACTACTTGAAGATCAACAAGAGTATCTCGCATAAGTCAAGGCAAATTCAGATTGACGATATCTTGAATGATTGACATTATTCAGATTCACAAAAAAAACTTGGCGCAACCGGATTGCAATAACCGGATTTCAATGATACCTACAAGTATTCTATACTCTTACTGCGAAATAAAATATATTTTAGAATTCTTTGCATCTTAATGTCATCCGAGAGTGCCAAGTTTTTTTTGTGAATCTGAATAATTTTATTTTTCTCTTTTCGTGTACTTGGTTATTTCAAATACAAGTTTGGAATTTGGAGTACGATACAGATTTAGGAAGTAACACTGTTATAATGAGTAATAGGGGCAAGTTATATTTACTAATGGATCACGAATAATAGTAGCAAACTCGTTTAAATATATACCTAAAGAATAATGTAATATATATAAAAAAAATAGATACTTAACAATGTCTAATAACAAATAAAATGATTAGAAAAATGATATATTATGATTAATCATAGTCACTTGGCGCGAATTTCCTGATATAATTAATTTTGTAGTTAAAGAATATAGTTTGGTATAGGAATAATTTTTTAATATAATTGTTTGTACAAATTGATATTACTTCACTTGACATGCGACAGTAAGAACAATAGCGTGTGCATGTGTGTCTGTGTACACGACTCAGCTCAGTAACGATCAACTTCCAGAGATATGTGTATGAAGCGGATAATATTATCTAGTTTTTATTAGTTTTTCTCTCAATAACTATAATGGGATGATATCATGTGTTGCTGAACACATACGTATTTGATCTTAAGAAGTTATAATTAAACGTCAAACACATAACGCTTCGATAATTCAACTACGATTGCACAATTATATCTCTCGCTGGGTTGTGCTTCGCTGCAATTCCAGACATATTCTCGTCACATCGTCGTCCATGACAAGCCGCCGATACAATAGAAAAACGAAAGCACGGTCCACCGTTCGCATACTGCCCAGTTCGCTTTCGACCATCGTTTCCGTTGCTTGTCGTCGAAGCGCCTATTCCGAATACGAACATCCAATGACGTCCAAACAGTGTGTCTTTTCTACGGAATAAAATTTCTTCAAACAACTTGCAATCACGATCGAGACGCCAGTTCGAATAAAAGGAATAGCCGCACGAAGAGACAGTCTAATTGGCGAACGATCAAGATTCGTAATAACCTTGTCTCATTTTACGAAAGCTATTCTTGCCAACATTTTATGAGTGTTAATGTTCAAAAGCTGCCGATAAATGCGAGTCAGCAGAAATTTCAAAATATTATAATTGCAGTAGACAGATCGGAAAAATATCCATCACATTTAAAATAATTTGAATCATATAGTCTGGCATAATGAAGCAGAAACTCCATCTCACAAATATAACGTGCGATCAGGCGATCGACGTCAAGTTCTTGAATTTGTCGTACACGGTTCGGACTAGATATCGCGAACCGAAAAAGCACATCCTCAAAGGCCTAAGCGGAATCTTCCGATCCGCCGAGCTGACGGCTATCATGGGACCGTCCGGTGCCGGCAAGTCGACGTTATTAAACATCTTGAGTGGCTTTCAAGAAGGCTTGTACATGGGAACGGTGACGTACCTCAACAGAGGCAACATACAAAATCGCGACACTTGTAAGAAACAGCTGCGTTATATTCAGCAGATGGATGATCTGCATGGCCACTTCACCACCCAGGAAATCATGATGATAGCGAGCTACCTGAAGATCAAAAGTATCTCGCACAAGTCAAGGCAGATGCAGATTGATGATATCTTGAACACGCTGACGTTATCGGACACCAAGGAGACCCGAACTGACCAGCTGAGCGGTGGTCAGAGAAAGAGACTGAGCATCGCCTTAGAGATGATTGACAATCCACCGCTCATGTTTTTGGACGAGCCGACCACCGGTCTGGACTCTGTTACGTCTATCCAGTGCGTGAACGCGTTTAAGACACTGGCGCAAACTGGCAGGACGATCATCTGTACTATACACCAGCCCAGTGCAGCACTCTATGAGATGTTCGATCAAATTTACTTAGTGGTGGATGGTTACTGTATGTATCGCTCGCCGCCCGGCAATACGGTCAACTACTTCGCCCTGCAAGGCCTCCAATGTCCAATGTATCACAATCCCGCGGACTACATGCTAGAAGTGGTGTCTAAAGAGTACGGTGATTACGACGAACAGTTGATCGCGGCGGCCAAGTGGCCCATTGAGTCGAACAACGAGATAAATTCTATCACATCGTCGCGCGACATGGTCCAGAAGATATCCGACAACGATCAGATGGTTGCATTGAGTCCGCCCACGGAACTGATACGATTCTGGGTGTTACTGAAGCGCTACATGCTTTTGACATATCGTAAACGCGATACGGAGTATATATATCTATTCTGTCACATATTCGTATCCCTATTAGCGGGTATGATTAATGTGCGCGCTGGCAACGATGGCAGAAAGGTATTCAGCAACATCTCCTGTCTGTTCCAGACCGTTGGGTACGCGTACTATATTGGCTTTTTACCGGCGGTACTAAAGTTCCCTTTGGAGATCAATATTTTGCGAAATGAGCACTTTAATAATTGGTATCAGATGAGAACTTGTTATATGGCCATGTTAGTGAGCACAATACCGTTGCAGTCGGTCTACATCTTCCTCTGCACTTTTATCGTCTACTTGATGACCAATCAACCGTATGAGTTCTTTCGCTTCTCTATGTATTTCTTCGTACACATCTTAACTCTCTTCGTTTCTGAGGGTTTGGGCTTAGGATTAGGCGCGATTTTCAATCCTGTCAACGGGAGCTTCGTCGGATCCATGATCTTTTGCATCATGTTAATGCTCGCCGGCCTTTTTGACTTTTTTAAAGACATGCTTCCACTCCTGTACTACATCAGCTACTTGAACCCGCTACGGTACGCCTTCAATGGTGTAGTTCAATCCATCTACGGCAATGGTCGTGAGAACTTACAATGTCCGGACATTTACTGCCACTTACGGGTGCCGAGTACGATATTAGAGATGCTCGACTTTGCTAAACCATTGTTTTGGTTCGACATTACTGTTTTGTTCGGCTATTATGTTCTGTTTCGAATTTTGGCTTATTTATTACTAAAGAGACGACTATCGAAACTGTATTTAAAAAATTAGCATGTGAAGTACCCTTATAGAAATATCATACTAAGAAATATTGAAAAATTATTAATGATTAAGTACTACCAATTCAGTAATTTAGTAATATTTTGGCCAGTATTTAATTTTTCTGGTAAATACTGATAATAAAATCACTGTTAAATATTGATAGTAATCAAATACTGAAAATTATTGTGCAAAGGTGAAAAATGAGAAAATCATAATATTATACAAAAATACATTTATAATTTTTAATTTCCTCATGTCTTATAAGCTAGGAACCGAAGATTGTTAACAACACGTTCCAAACTTTCCAGAATCCTCCCTCGATAATTTCGATCTCAAGCAGTAATACCGGCATCCATCCAGTTTAGACTCCGTTAAACTGTTACCTATCGATTAAAGTGTTGCCTATTTACACGACGATCGAGCGGCACGCGGCGATTCCCGATGACATTAACGATGTTCTTACGATTTAAGCTTATATAATGTATTCTTATAATGTTCACAATATATTATAACATATCTAGCAAACACCAAATAACAGTTATATAACTTTTATTTAGTGTTTGTTGGATAATTTATTAATAGATATTAAAGCAACGTAATATTTGATATGCAATGGATATTGATATAATGTAGTGAAGCAGTAATAATTACTTTTAGATTTTGTACAGAATGTTTTAATGATTAATCCAAACAAAAAATAAAAAAATCCAAGAAAATCCAAATCAAACAAATCAAATTACTATATTTTGAAAGAAACATTTAAAGAATAGTTTTTAAAACAATAATATTGTTTCATCAAACGACATGGTTTCCTTGGACGAAAAAAAGTTTTTTATTTTCATCATTTTAAAAAATGATATATCGTTTAAGAATATAATATTTTAATGAAACAAACAAAAATTGAACATTAAATACGTTAAGTATATTAAAAACATTAAGTACGAATATTAAATTTAAAGAAACGTTTTTCTCCGAAAAAACAATATAAGAAGTGTAAGACATATGTAATTACACGAATTCTAGCCAAAAAAAGAATTAATGACTGCCACTAACAAGTACTATTCTAAGTAATTTTCTATTCCAGTAATAGCTAAATACTAGCTGACAGGAGTCCGGCCGACGGTAAGCCGCCAAGCGTCGGCCAAGCGTTGGCTTCGTTGTTACTACTGGCGATCCTACATGAGTAATAGCCATATTTTAATTCCTTTTTTTTTCTTTAAAGAGTATCAGGTTTTGCGGAAGTATTTGCAGATTTGTAAACATTAAATAGCGGTAAGTTATGAACAGTACCATGATAATGTGATTAACAATAGGAAGTTTCGCGCAGCTAGAAGTACCTTTGTAATCAGATCGTCGAGTCAACTTCGTCTTTCCGTTAAATTCGCACGCTTGAATATGGAAGAAAGGACATCAATGTGGAAAACAGATTGTGATAAGGCGAACACCACGTGAGCGGTAACGCTTTCACGTTTACGTTTCGAGTGATATGTGCACAATAATAAGACGAATATTTTAAATGCGAAATGTCTGAAGCGATTGCAATTAGACCGCGCAAGAACAATCGCGAATTGCGTTCCGTCATTCTGCAATCCTCGTTTTCAGATGTATTATATTGTACACTTTGTTTTTATTTTTTATCGCTAGGAATCGTCCAAGCTTAAAGCACACAGTGGATACTGATTCTTCAATTGTAATCGTCGTTGTTGTAAGCTAATCATTATTTGCGAAAGACGTTCTTTAGGGCCGTGTTAGAGAACCTTTAGTAAAGAGAATCGCCAACATCACGTAACCAGCAGATTAACTGCCAAAAACATGTACGGATTTGGACATTGCGACACCAATAAAGAAAAAATAATTATTATATATATATATATATATATATATGATTTTGCATTGGCGTCGCAATGTCTGCGTCCGTACATGTTTATGCCAGCCAATCGCAGAGTAGCTGCTTGACGATTCTCTTTACTAGTTTAAAACTTAAACAGTAAGACGTAAGCAGTAAGCAAATTGACCAACCAGTCATTGATTCTTCTTACGGTCCAAGAATCAAGGACTGTAATTGGTCAATTTGCTTACTACTTACGTTTTACTACTTAAGTTTTTCTGTGTGCCACGACCTTTAGGCCCGTTCTACAATACGCTGTAAGCCGGAACCGGATGTCGCTAATCGCTTGTCGAATGTTGTATATCGGATTTGAATACGGTTTACTATTCCACAATTAAGTCGGAAGTCGGAATAAATATAAGCAATGGATACTAAAGCATTGAGTGTTTATTTAAATTTATTATCAATTTGGACGCAAATTATAAGATTATTATTATTAAAGAAACGTAAAAAAAAAATAACAAGAAGATGGTGGATTAAATCTCATATTGGGGTAAATATGAGGCAAAATTTTGGTGCCCATCAAAAATGATTTATATATTTTAAAATTCACATTGCGTTTATTATTCAGATAGCACGATGAATTCTTTAAGTGTTCCTAAAGTGTCCTCCTTTCTTGAATTGTATTTCTTTAAGAATTCATGGAAGAATACTATAAGAAAGATTTAGTTACATGCACCAAGACTGGAGTTCCTCAGACCTTCTTAGAGTATTCATATAGTATTATACTATATGAACAAGAATATATACTTTATGAATTCAAGAAGAATAATTCTATACAGAGAAAGAGAAATATAAACCGAGTAAACACTAACTAACAGTAGCATAATATCAATGTTATAATTTTCTATTCAACAATATAAATGCAACATAATGAGTGTTAGTTATATTTTTAAGTAGGAAATTATAACATTGATGTTACGTTACTGACAATGTTTGCTGGAAGGATAGTCGATAAACATCAACTTAGTTGTAACATTAATATTATAATTCTCGCTCAACAATATAACTGTTACGTACAACATATGTACCACATAGTAGGGTATAAAACAAGGGTTCTAACCATCGATATATAGAATGGACTGCTAAATGATGAGATGGCGAGGGTAGCAACAGATGTAGAGTGAGAGGCAGACAATAGTAGGACACCTTCTGTCTCTGTTTATTGAAGTCTGATTGGCTGCAGGAATTTTAGCAATACTGTATCCTGCGAAAGTCAGACCCCAAGCTAGACGCGAGAGTATTATTTCACGCTACATCTCTATTACGTATTACGTTGCTCGAAAATATCATGTAATACAAAAGTTAAAATGGTACATTTCTGTCAGTTAACCAATTCATAAATACTGTTGCATATATAATATCGAATTGTATTTCTTTTTCTACCTACCTATTTACATATGTATTCATACTTACTCTCATTTCAGTACTAATGAAATGTTATTATGTATAAAAGAGTAATATTTTTTTAATATTAAAAATGTTACACTAAACTAAAATCACAAGTAACTCTTTGAAACATTTATTATAAATTATAAGTATGATTAAGGTTCTGTTACGATGCGCTACGCTCCTACATGGAAAAGAGACGGAAGATGTCTTACTATTGTCTGCCTTTTACTCTACGGCCAGTATTCATAGTTAGATCTTATATTTAAGATCATCTTAAGTACTGTCTTAAGATGTCATGAACCAATCATAGAGCCGTATTCGCATCTGAAGACATTACTTAAAATGGTCTTGAAATAAGATTCGACTATGAATACCGGCCTACATCTGTTCCTACCCCCACTATCTCATTTAGCAGTCCATTCTATACGTCGATTGTTCTAACCCTCGATCCTCCTAGGGAGGTGCGGAGGAGAGGAGTACCACGAGCGGCGGAGAAAGTCGTCACGCGGGTTGGGAAGTATCTAGTGCGCAGGGGAAGGATGTCACGTGGGGAAGGATGGCTTATCAACGGTCGATAATTTTTACCGGTATATTTTTAACCGATATTTTTACCGGCATCTTTATTTATTAAAATAATTTTTACGACGTTATTTTCTTTACCGACATAATTGATCATTTATTTTTACCGGCATATTTTTTAATATAATTTTTACCGACATAATTGATCATTTTTATCGACCCTACGATCTTCCCCTCTCCGCGTTTCGGTGGCGGTAGATTTTCGACGGCCTTTTCCTCTCTCCAGCTCGTGTCACTCGTCCGCGCCGCCTTCTAGAATATTCTCGAATATTCCAGAAAGGTCGAGACATTTTGAGGAGGACAAATCTTTTCAGGTAGTAGAGTTTACCTTCCGAAACTATGCAACCCTGATAAAAATTTATCTTTAAACATACACTATCATATGTTTTCAAGCTATCGTACACCTATGATATATGAGCGATGTATGTACGAGATACGAAATTATCGCATATCTACCTTAGTAAATACTTTTTTTCAAAGATTTGTTAGGAAAAAAGAAGTAAAAGAGAGAACAGACATTAATATATTTTAAAAAATATTATTTTACTTATAGCCTCATACATAATATCTTTCAAGACGCACACTAACAACTCGCAATCAACGAGCGACTCACAGTCATAGTTGTTGCTTTCACGTATCGCTTATGTATGTTTTGTCAGCTCACGTATGTTTTGTCAGCTTGCAGAAGTCGTTGGATATCAAGATGTTTTCCCATCAGCTTTCTCCAAGTTTCTGTAGGTAATGTTAATTGATTGCCGCAATTATCACCGAGGATTATTTCCACGGTGGGCACAGGTCCTACGCTGATTCTAATCTCCAAATAAATGTACGACGTTGCAGTCAAAGCATACCTGCCCAGCATACATATCCAGGATACGAGCAGTATGATGCGGTTGCAAAGTGTTATAAAAAATATAACAAAAATTAAATGTATGAAGAAATAACTTAAACTGGAAAAAGTGCATAAAAATTTGCATTAATACTTACTTTTCACGTCTTTTCTTGCATGGTGAGATGTCGCCATCATCATGTTGAACGAGTGACTAATAATTTGCACGCGTGTGTGCAGTATTCACTTCAGCACCGTACATTTTGATTTTTTGCCGTATCCGGGAACTACCACCAAACCTCGTCTGTACAGAGCGACTAACGAAACCACTGTACGAGTTTCTATTAATATAAACAAGTTCCCACCAACGTTTTTTATCCCCTCTCTCTTATTCGTCTTCAGAATTATTAACCGATGTATTGATACATTTTTCGAAACTAGATAATAAATCTATGACATAGCGTCGTAGTCATATTCTTTTTTACAAATATTAGAATAATATCCATCAGAGGTCGATTCGTATGATTTCATACACTATCCATATATTTATAAGGAAAAAGAGCTAGGCTTAAATGAATATTGTACTTTTTTTAATTATTAGAGTCAAAAGACACTGCATCAAAGATGGCGGATCGATACAGCGGAAACTGTAATCGCTAAAGGAATGTGACAAGGACCGTGTTAGGATAAACAAGAGAACGAAACGGTGGTCCGATGCAATGGCAGCACTCGAGGTGCGAGATGAATTCGATCCTCAGTGAAACCGGGAGGCTCGTTCGTAAAACACCAGCAGTAGATCTTTTTTCCTTTCTACGAGCCCAGGCTTTCCACACAACAAGTATGAAATTGTTTTATCATGGTATCAACGGTGTACGCATGAGAAGTCCGTATGGGGTAATTAATTGACTGTTTGAATCAATCAGCTATAAAACCGAAGGATGAATTGAGAAATTCTCAGTGTGTTGTGAAAAAATGGGAGAACTCACACAAATCGAACGAGAACTATGGGAGCAGTCGATTCGACTAAATTCGCGAGACGGGTACGACGCGTGGATGCAAAAGTATGACGAGTGCATCGAATCGTTGGATGAACATAGTCGGGTTAAACGATTGATTACCAATCAGTGCTAGACAATCGTTGCTTGCTCGAATCGCGCAACTCGAGGGTTTAAAAAATACGTTGCGCACACGTTTCGTTCACGCGTGTGCCTGACACAGCGCGATAGACGCAGGACTCGTTTGGCGCGAGGTCGATACCGCGTTCGATAGTCTCATTAACCAGAGTTGTCATCAACGCGAACCACATCGAACCTCGTCAATTTCTCGAGGATGCAAAAACTATGGTGCTCGAGCGTGTACGGGACGCAATGGAGAGACACGTAAATGTTAAAGTGAACACTGTATTTAACGGTGAGTTCGTCGCAGGTGAAAAACGTGCGGTAAAGACCATCAATACGAAAAACTGTGAACTCTTGCTTGCGTTCGATTTGCAAGAGTAGTACGAGCGACGCATTGTCGAGTTCATTTTGATCTCGATCGTTGGAGGAATTCCAGGAACGCGATAGCGGGTGGGCGCTATCGCGAATACGATCAACATGAACAAATACTTTGCACTCGTGTGTCACTTTGAGTTACCGCGTGAAATGCAGCTGAAGCGAGCTGTGATTAATGTTAAATCTAACGACATTGCATGTTTCGCGTGGGCGATAGTCACCGCTCTACACCCAGGCGAAAGGTACACAGATCGCACATCATTGTATACTCACTACGCGAGCGTACTCAATCTTCAAGACATTGAGTTTCCCATGAAGATTAATCAAATAACAAGATTTGAACGATTAAACAATATATCCATCAATGTGTACAGTATCATGGGAAAAAAGAACGTCTACTATTGTTCCAATACGTCTCACCGATGGAAAGAGGGCAAAGCACGTCAACTTGCTACACATTTCGGACCCCTCGAGACCACAACGCGGAACATTTCGCATTTGGATCAAGAACTTATCCCGGCTCATGAGCTCGCAGTTGAGCAAGTATAAAGTCAGAAAATACATTTGCGATCGGTAAGTACATTTTATGAATTCATTGTATCAGAAGTATGCAATAAGATGATAGTAAATGAAAATTGTAATGTTTGTAGGTGTCGGCACTATTTCCATTCCAACGAAAAGCTGGAGAGTCACATCACAGACTGCCAAAAATTGAACGACTGCGCCATCATTCTGCCGACTGAGGACAACAAGTGGCTAAGCTTCCGCAATTACAGCAGGAAGGAGCGAATCCCATTTATAGTGTACTCTGATCTGAAGTGTACACTGGAGAAGACCGCAAAGAACGGAGAGGATCACAAATCGCACACGTATCAGCATCACAAGGTATTTAGCATAGCGTATTACTTGCGTTGCTCGTATGACGATTCGTTGTCATATTTTCGAATCCGTCGCGATACTGATTGCATTTCATGGGTCAAACAACTCGAAAAGTTAGCGCACGCGTAAAAGTAATTTTATCCACCAACGTCCCCATGGAAACTTGTCGAAAAAACAGTAGGCGGCATTTCGTAACGCGACGCACTGTCACATGTGGGAGAAACCATTCGCGGTGGAGGATACGCGCGTACGCAATCATTGCCATTTCACTGGACGGTACAGAGGTTCCACGCACTCAACTTGTAACTTGAATTATGTCTTGTTATTGGCTAATATTTTTGAAAATTTCCGCAACAGTTGTATCGCAAGTTACGGATTCGATCCCGCGTATTATTATACTTTGCCAAGATTCACATGGGACGCAATGTTAAAGCATACGGATGTAAATTTCGAATTGCTCACCGATATGGTCATGTTTATCGAACGCGGTATACGCAATAGTCAGTGCTCAAGTAGATAAGCGCGCGCCAATAACAAGTACATGCAATCTTACGATCCATGGAAGCCATCGTCATACTTGATGTACTTTGATATGAATAATCTATATGGTTGGGCAATGTATCAATCGTTGCCCTACGCCGATTTTCGATGGGTTAAGGATATATCAAACTTGACGTATTCTCAATTGCGCCAGATTCACCCACAGGATATTTTCTCGAGATCGACTTGGAGTATCCATAAGGTTTATATAGCGCGCACGCTGACTTGCCGTTTTGTCCGACGCGCGATAAACCGTCCGGCAAACGAGAGGAAAAACTTCTCGCTATACGATAAGCAGCGTTATGTTCCAGCAATTCGGTGCGCGCGATTAAAATTATCCTCGCAATCATCTGTGTTGAAAATTTGATCTTATTTTTCGTTTTATTATTCCATTCAATACATATTTTGATACTTTGAAACCTATACGTGAACCACTTTTGTTAAGGGGGGAGGGTCATGTAAACGGGTGTTACTTCAAGAATTTTTTTGAAAAAATAGAAAAGTTTATGAAATCGATATAAAGCACATTGTAATATATAGGACTTAAGGTATATTATATATTTTTTTTTCATGTAAAAATATTTCAAAATAGCGGCGCAGCAGCTGCTTGAAGTGGGTTCCTACAATTTGCGCCGTGCAACGCCCAGGTCGCTCTAATTAACTGAAATAAAGAAACCAAAGTTTTTTCGTTAAAATATGTTAATATGCTTTGCATGATAGTCGATTTAAAAAAAAATCAAAAATTAAAAATTCAGGACAATTTTGAAAAAAAATCACTTTTTTTGTTACAAACAAATGGTAAAAAACAATATTTATTATTGAATTTTTAATACAATTTTAGTGTCATGCAAAGGCCAATAAGTCAAAGAATATGTGTGCAAAATTTCATTAAAATCGGTTGAGAATTCTTTGAGCTACATTGCACGGCGCGCAAAATTTTACGTTTTGAGAAAAACGCGTTTAAAGTTTTCGATAGAGAAAAGTAGTGTTTAAGGGGACTTACGATTATATAAACTTATTCTGCGATGCCAGAGTCGTAAAATATGCCTTCCTCTTCTGCAAATGCATCCATTTGAGCTGTTGCTTCCTGTTTTTTAGCTGTCCTGGACTTTTTTGACCTGCTTTGGCTACGGCGCTCCTGGCTTTCCACTTGGTTTTTGTCGTACACGTCAGCGAATGTTTTACACTGAAAACCGATTTGCAGTTCCAAATCTGTCATTACTTGCAGAATGAATGTGTAGTCATCGTTAAACATGCCTCCGGCTAAATAAGCAGCAATCTCAACGATTTTCCAGCCGCAGTTTAGATGCTTGGGAGCTAAGCGCCATACGATCGCATTAAAAGATTCATTTGCATTTCGCGTATAGCTACCTAAGCATCTCTCAAGTAAGTTATCACGGGATAAATTGGCTTAGTATCTGCTTTTTCATATTAAAATGTAATGGAGGAGGATGAGTATAAGCTTATACTGCATTTTCACCTTCGGCGACGCGATACGCACACCACGACTCGACGCCCGGGAGACAGTACTGGTGTTGTGACTCTTGATCGATTGATATTAAATGGAAATAAGTGGCCATGATTGCTTTTTTCACGTCATTCTGTGAGTGCGCATTCCTTCGAATTGCTAGGCCAGAGTATTTTGTTAATTTTTTTATAAGAACATCAGTAAGTTTCCCCTTGCCTCCGAGTTTAGCAGTTTTTTTTAAATTTCGTAGTCGACCGCTCATACGTTTCTCGACATGGCCTACGCATTCGCTCTTCGTTACTTTCAAATCATCAACGTAAGGTTCTGCATCTACAATGGCTTTAAAAGTCTTGGTGTCTCCATCTACAATATAATTACTGTACCTCACTCCATAACGTTCCTGGGATCTTTGAAACATTTCGAGCTTAGAATCGACTTCCATTTTTCTTTCGATTTATTGGGCAATTCTTTTTGTCCTCTGCATATTCCGGGCTATTTGAATCTCTGTGTTTAAAGTAGATGCATGCTTGACAATAACTATTTTTAACGATCAGATCTATTACTTTTCCTGAATGATAAGCTATTAACGTAGTAACATCAAAGAGAAACGAGAATCCGCGCTTTTTCTAAGAACCGTCACCGCTAACAGTTAAATTCTTAATAGGTCTCTCGTTCTCTTCATTTATTTTTATTTCATCTTGCACAGCGTTTTTGCAGCAAACATCAAAAACTTTCTTAGCAGATGCGTATAAGTGCTGCACTATTCTCTCGTAATCTTTTTTGCTCAATCCTTGTCCCAGGTCCATTATACCGCAAAAAATGTTTATGCCTTCTCGAGCTACTCTCAGTAATCTCATAGCAAAAACTATTCTTCGATTAATTTCAAAAATATTATGAATAAATGGTCCTGAATCAATGAGTGTAGTGCCACACTTACACTTCACGGATATTTTAAAACCAAGTCTTCTGTCACCTTAATTACCGAATGATAAATTACCTTTACATTTTCTGTAAATAGCTATGTCAGAAATAGCAGAAAATACAGAAATAAATTCTATGATTCGGTAACAGAAACTCAAATTTACAACGACGTCAGACACCGACGCTTTCATTTTCTTAGCCGACGCAATTGCTCCGGCGTCGGCGTCGCTTGGCATCTCTTCTTCAGTATCTTGTATAAATTCACCTGGGGATCGCCGACGACGAGGACGGCTTGGACGATAGTTCGGTTCACTTTTATCTATTTTTCGACTCATTTTTTGCAAATATAATGCATAACAACAACGTAAAACTACTGCACGGTAAGAAAAATAGGAGTGAAGAGCACGCTGCCTATCAACTGTTGCCTCGGAGACGTTACTTTTTGAAAAACAGCTGTTACACGAGCACAAATTATTGCTTTTCCTCGTCAGTTGTTCCATCTAGTGTCCAAATAGCAAGTCTATCGTGTCAAGGGACCGAAAAATAAAGCGTTCACGCGCGCGGTCGTATACACTGTTAAATCCGTAGTGTCAAATTATACTAAATTTGAGCTATTTTTAACCATCCCTATAAGTCGCCACTGCTCCTACTAAATATGTCGTTAATTTAACTAATGTAATGGAGTTAAATAATTTAACTTAAGAAATGTATTAAATTTGACTAAAATTTAGTTTATTTTTTATTATGTGCATGTTAATGTAACCTTTGTTTTAGTAAAAAATGACTTAATATTGTTTGAAATGGGTTGATTAGATGTGGTTGTTTTTTTAAACACATGTTTTGTATTAAAATAGTAAATTTTGACACACATGATAGTTAAAAATAACTAAATATTATTTAACTCAAGAAATTGGTTCAAATTTGACCCTCCAAAATTTAACAGTATATAAGCGTCACTCTATCTTTCTTCCGCATTTAACGAGCGATAAAGATAGAATGATGCTTACAGCGCGTGAGCGCTCAAAAGAAACGCAGCCTGAATCGTATGACGAGATACGTTCGTCGAACTCGTCATGCAACATAATCCAAAAGATTACAGATAACAATCAGATTATTGACGTGCCCGACGGAGCTGATACGATTCTGGGTGTTGCTGCAGCGCTACGTTATATTAACATATCGTAACCGCAAGATGATGTGTGTTTATCTGCGCTATCACCTATTCATATCGGTGTTAAGCGGTTTGATTTATGAACACACTGACGATAATGCCAGCAAGGCAATCAACAATCTCGCTATTTGTACTTGTGCATGATATACACATCGGCTTAATGTCGACCGTGCTCAAATTCCTCTTAGAAAACAACGTTTTACGGAAGGAGCACTACGACAATTGGTATTAGCTGAGAATCTATTATACGGCTATATTAGTGAGCACAATACCATTACAGATGACTTACAGTTTTGTCTTCTCGTTCATCACCTACTTATCGGCACTTGGCGTGCCTTCTTTTTAAGTATTAATATCTTTTTAAGTATTAATATTAGTATCTTTTTAAGTATAATATTACGAAAATCATTTAGCATACTTTGAGTTGCAAGGAAATTAATTTAGTATACTTTGAGAAATTAATTTAGTATACTTTGAGTTGCAAGTAAATTAAAAATATTCATATCTAATTAATTTTCATTTGATCATCATTAACTACTGAGTATATGTAGCTTTACACAAAAAGCACTTTGCATGTTCGGGTTGAATAAAACACTAATAAATTAATTAAATTATTTGATTGTCATTAACTCCTGGGCGTCCTTAATTGTTATTAACTCCTAGGCGTCCTTAAAATAAGACAGCTGTTTAATCAATAAAAGAAGGCACGGCAAGTGCTTTTTATATAAGTCTATAATTTTTTTATCAAAATTATTCTATTT